AGTGTTTCATTGTGTTAGTGATCACGAAACTTTTTCATAAAAATTAATCTAAATGTGAGTGCTAAAACCAACTTGAGAAAGTAAGTGTGTGGTATTGTTAAGGACTCCAAGGTTAGTGAGTCTATGGATTTTATTGTGGTGTAGGATTGGATCTTTTGTAGGTACATAAACATTAGGGTCTGATTGATGAGTTGATTGTACGACTAGTGATTTATTTTTGTAGTGGCTCTAATAATAAAATCTTGTGAGTTTAAAATTTGTCCGGAAAATTGAAATTACCTAAGAACAAGAAAAAAGAAGAGGAAAGTCGCGGTGGCGTGGATGTTTTTATTAGATAAAGAGATTGAATTTTGGATATTTATAAAAATAAATAAATGTAGTTATAAATTTTTTTTAAATGTTTAATTCAAATTATACTATTTGTAAATGAACAAGTACCAGGACTATGTGGTCCAATGGTATCCGGGTTGGACTTCCACTTGAAAGGTTGTGAGTTCGAGCCTTAGTGGAGGTGTTATTAGCTCTTTGTGTTTCAATAGGTTGAGAAAGTATATGAACAGATACTACAATGTAATAGAGCTAGTAACATTCAAAAAAAAAAAGTACATAACTAGTTTAATTTAATATAATTTTAATGGTATTTATATATATATATATATATATATATATATATATATATATATACACACACACACACACACTAATCTTTTTACGAGCATTGCACGATTGGAATAATGCCCAATATATATATATATATATATATATATTTTTTTTTTTAAATAAGTACTTTAAAGTATATCAAGGCAAGATTATATTAGAATTGTTCATGCATAAATAATTGAATGTTAAATTTACGTATTTAAATAGGCAATTTTAAGTTTACAAATGCAAGATAATATAGTCAAGATTGATTATAATTGTCAATAAAATAATTGTATAGATATGGTTGAAATCAAATACGGCACAGAAGGGAGATCAAATAAAAATTAGGACATAAAATATTAAATATATACTAATATTGAAGAGTTAATTGCTGATTGCCAAACAAGGACATTGCGAGATAGTTTCTCACTTCAATTTGTTGTGTGATTTGAATACTCTTTTGTGAATAAATCCCCCAAGTAGTTAATATGATTGACTTAATTATATTTTTATATATATTTTTATTTTTTAAAACAATTATTATTATTATTATTATTATTATTATTATTATTATTATTATTATTATTATTATTATTATTATTATTATTATTATTATTATTATTATTATTATTATTATTATTATTATTATTATTATTATTATTACTCTTAGGTAATTTTATATGTTAATCTAAACAACTAATTTTTTCAAATAACTTTTTATCATCGTTAATATAATTCGTTGGTTAAATCCGCTAATCGCTAACTGCTGATTGTCAAACAAGGACATTGTGAGGTAGTTTCCCACTTCAATTTGTTGTGTGATTTGAATACTCTCTTTGTCAACAAGTCCCTCAAGTAGTTAATATGATTGGATTTATTAATTATATATATTTTTTAACTTTTTCATGGTATTAATAAAATACTTGGTAAATAAATATATATCATTATTTCGTATTATAACTTTGATATTTAATTAAAAAATAGTGCACAAAAAAAGATAATAGACAATGTAGTGAATATAATCAATTGATGAATTTGAATGTAAAGAATTTTTACATTGGTGAAATATAAAGACAATATAACTAATAAAATTATTTCTCTTAATTAATTTATTGATAATGAATAATTTTTTTTAATAAAGACATTGTAGGGACAATGTAACGAATATAATAATTTGAATGTAAAGAATTTTTATATTGGAGAAAAATAAATACAATATAACTAATGAAATTATTTCTCTTATTTAATTTATTGATAATGAATAAACTTTTTTTGAATAAAGACATTGTAGACACATAATTCTAAATTAAAGAAATGCATATGTATTATTTTTTGCTGTAGCTACTAAATTATTATTTAATTTAATAAGAGTAAAATAGAGTACTAATTATGCCAACTTTGATTGTGACGGGATTCGAACCTAAGACCTTTCTTATTGAAATCAATGAGTAAGTTAACGGTGAACTAACAAAAATTAACGAAAAAGATAATATTTAACGAAAAAGTTAACGGATAATCATATTCATTAAGGATAAATTAGGAAATCTTGAGAAAAAATTAAAATTTGATGAATCTGAGTTATTCATTTGATTAAAAAATTTGATCGCCATTTTCACCCATTATAGGTCTAACTCTCTTGGGCTCTTATTAGTATATATATATATATATATATATATATATATATATATATATAACAATAAATTTATGAACTTGAATTATAAACAACTTAGAAATATTGAGGCACATAAAATAGAACAAAGCTATTTAAATTAAATAAATTAAAACAAATGGTTATATTTAAACCAAAAAATGATTGGGCTTCCCATTATTGAGCCCATTTAGTATTTATTTTGATGGCCCATGATTCGTTGCATTCTCAAAAACTTAGGCTAATTATTGTGTGGACCATGTGAACTATAACAAAAAGTACATTTTTAATATACTAAATGTACATTGTTTTTGTATTGTATGTGCATTATACAATATAATGTATCATTAGTACAAAAATAATGTACATCCCTTGAATACAATGTACATTATTTTTGTATTGAATGTATATTATTTTTGTACTAAATGTACATTATTTTACAGTATAGAAAATATGGTCCACACAAGTCGTGTGGACCATAATTGAAAAACTTATTTAGTCTCTCAAGAGTCGTTATAACTGTGTGGACAGTGGACTACAAATAAAAAGTATATTATTTGAGTATATAAAATATATTATTTAAAAGTACATTATTTTGTATATTATCAAATAATATACATTCAGTATGCAAATAATATATACATTTAATATATTAAAAATGTATCATGTATTCAGAAAAAATACATTATTTAAATACTGAAGGTACACTATTTTATACAAAGTACATTCAATATACAAATAATGTACTTTTTTATGGTCCACATAAAAATTTGTCATCTCTTAAGCATCCATACAACAATCAAAACTTTAGACCATGGTTCACTTGTAAAATTGATTACTTTGATAAAGGCTTTTTTTGGCACGCCTAGTTAAAATCTAAAAGATGAAAAGCTAATAACTAATAAACTAACTAATTGAAATTTAAATATTTGGTAATATTAATTGTTGAATTAGTTGATATATGTAAAAAGAAATAAAAGGATAAACTAAGATATTAGCATTTTAATTAATGAAGAGTAGATGGTATCATTTTCATAAATTAATAAAGATAAAAAAAAAAAAAAAAGCTAGTAACTTATTTTGAAACGGTTACTTGAGTAACGTTTCAAAATAAGCTATTATTTTAAACCCCCAATGCTTTACTAAAATGATAGAGCTTATAACTTATTTGTAGTTTAAAATAAGCTATATAAGCTCTAACTCTAAAATAAGCTCTACTAAACATAGTATTTATTTTTAGTATATCGAATGTTCAATTTTAATGAATTATATATTATTTTTTTATATATCACGTAAAACTAAACATTCTCTATATTAAAAATAAATAAACATAGTATTTATTTTTAATATATCGAAGGTTCAATTTTTATGAATTATATATTATTTTTTATATATCACGTAAAACTAAACATTCTCTATATTAAAAATAAATATTTATTAGTGATTCACCTTCTATATTATTCTTTCCAAAGGTTGAAACCCTACCCAACAGAGCATCTGAGAGGATGTCAATCATGGTAACCTTTGCTTGCTGCGCACAAGGAGCCCCCCTCACTGGTGAGACTCGATCCCTGATCATTTTTTCCAAATTTTATCTCTATAATCAGTTGAGCTGTCCATGCGGGCAATTCACCTTCCATATTATAATTTGCCTCGGGAGAGGTTGATGTCCCTATAAGATATTAAAGGACCAATTTATTATGTTAGGGTGATTTTAAAAAATAAAAATTTGATTTTAAGTAGAAACAATTTGATCCCCATAGTTAAGTGTCACGAAGTCACGAGATAATCAAAGAGTTGCTTAATAGAGATCAACACTTGTGTTCCAATGGGTAAACTTCCATAATCATATATACAATGGTTTCCAAATTCTTTTAGACTCCTCCAAAGGGGATTAAGCACTTACTTGCTCCAGATGGTATTTGTCCCAAAATAATTTAACTTTCTTTGTCTTCTCTTCTTCTCTTGTATTGAAAAATTCAATGTAACAACACTATAAATGATAACAAAAAAAAAGTGCCAAGTCGCAACATCTGATAAGAATTAGGATATTGATTCATTTTTTTTTTTTTTTTTAAAACACTATAATCTGTTTATAGTATTTGTTCAAAAAATTAATTCATAAAATTTGAGTATTAAATAATCAAAATTTGATGCAAGTACGTACCAAATAAATGGTAATTAAAACTACTTTTAAAAAAGGTGCTTGAGAAATTGCGTACAACATAATTTAAGCACTATTTAGCTCAGCGAAAGCATCAAGTATGTAAATACAAATACAAATACTTTAAAACAGAAGAAGATGTACTATATAACTTAACAAGCTAAGGCATTAAACATATAAGGCCTGTTTGGTAAAATGACTGTTTGATAGCTGTTAGCCGTTAGCTGATTGTGTTAATTAGAGGGTATAAATAGTTGATAACATTGGCTGATTGTAGAAAAATGTTTGGTAAATTAGCGGTTAGCTGATAGCTGTTTGATATAATTTCTTTTCTCAAAAAGCTAATTGAAAAAGTTGCTTAGAGTAGCTTTTTGAATTTTAGCATTTTGGAGTTGCAAAAAACTAATTAACCAAACATTTATATTGATATTTTAACTAAATCAAACAATTAATAGTGGTCAAATAAGCCAAAATTGACCTATTGGCCAATTTTTTACCAAACAGGGCCATATACTAAGCTTAGGGAATTTAAATACAAAACAAAAGCTATCTTCTCAATTTTAGGACGGTTAACTGCACTTTCTTCATGATCTTTCTTGCCTGCTTCTTCTTCTGTTGCTGCTTTACGACCCATTTAATAATCCATTCAGCCAAGAATGTAAACCCTATTGTTAACCCAACAACTAACCCAAACCCACATCCTGCAACTGCAAACTTCCAATCAAACATGGCTTCTTCACCTTCCAAGCTTTCATCATGTGCTACTGGCACATCATCATCTTCACTGCATTTTCTAGAGAGTGGGGTTCCACACAGTCCTGCATTTCCTATGTTGGAGCTATTCGTGAAAGTATTGAATTGGTTCCCCAAAGGAATGTGGCCACCTAGTTGGTTGTAAGACATGTTGAATACTTCCAGGAATGTTAGACTGGTGAGTTGTGGAGGAATCGTCCCTGAGAATTTATTCTTTGAGAAATCTAAAGACTCTAGTTGAGATAACACTCCTAATGATGTTGGAATTTGGCCATCGAAGGAATTTCGTGACAGGTTGAGCACAACCAGCGATTTCAGTTCAGCAATCTCTTCCGGAACATTGCCATGGAACTTGTTATTTGACAGATCCAAAGACACAAATATTGTCAAGATCTTAACCAGCACCATCTCATATCCTTTGTTCACGATGGTCACTGAATCATGATAGTATTCATCATGCTCTCCGATGAGGCTGGGTAGTGATTTGTTTTCCCCAACCATAGCCATTGCACTTAAACTATGCAAGAAATTTGTTGACAACTTTCCTGTGAAATTATTGGAGGAAAAATCAATTATGCGTAAGCCTGGTAGCACAAACTTTGTGCTATGAATCTCCACTTGACCATAAAACATGTTGTTTCGCAAGATAAGAACTTTGAGTGAAGGGAGTTTTTCCAACCAAAATGGGAAAGTATCAGATATCATGTTGTTTCCTAAATCAAGAATCTGCAGCATTTTGCAATTGGCCAGTGATCTTGGCAGCTTCCCTTTCAAGCGATTGCCATTGATATTAAGAGTAGCAAGATTTCTTGCTAATGTAAAATTATAAGGCATTTGATGATATCTGTTTCCTTGCAAGTTCAAGACAGTTAGTGGTGCATCATTGAGCAGGCACTCAGGAATCAAACCACTCAAATTATTATCTGATGCATCAAGAACTTGTAGGCTCATATTGCATATTCCGGATGGAAAAGATCCTTTCATACGATTTCCATGAAGATAAAGAGCAAAAACATTTAAAGAAATATTTGAGGGAAATTCATTAAGGCAAGATAAAAGATTATGAGAAATATTCACAAATTGAAGTTGATTCTTCCATATCCCACTTGGTATTTCACCATCTATCATGTTATCAGAAAGGTCAAGAAACGATAAAGAATCAAGGTCTTTCAAGAACTTGGGGAACTTAGAAATGTTGCAAGATTGCATCCTTAGAGAGTTTAGCAACATGAATGAACTATTTCCTGTAGCTGAAGACGGTTCAAGAAAATCTAATTGATTTCCAGAAAGGTCCAAGTCCTCGAGATTGCTGTTGTTCCCCAGCCAACTAGGAACATAACCTCGAATGTGATTATGGGCAAGGTTCAGATGTCTAAGCTGTACCTGATTCTTAAGGAAAATCGGGAAATCAAATAAATTGCACTTCTGTAGATGCAACCTTTCCAGCTGAGGCAAGTGAAAACTTCTATCATCATTTTCTCCAACTGTCAAACTAATGCTAGAGAGATCTAAAGCTTCCAAGTTCTTGAGATTCTGCATCATCTCAATTTTCACACTGCCATTAAAATTGTTAGAACCCAATAATAGACCAATGAGGTTAGGAAGTTCAAAGATTGATTTAGGTACCACCCCACTCAATTGATTGCCATTCAAATACAATTCTTCTAAGACAGAGGAAGATGTATTAGAGAACTCCTCAAGTTCACCACTGAATTTGTTATCATTGAGGAACAAGTATTCCAGAGATGGTAGAGTGAAAAGAGACGAGTGAATTCCACCGGTGAGAAGATTGGATGACATGTCAAGGTACGAGAGATTTGGAACACTTGTATTGCGAAATGGGGGTAAAGAACCAGCGAATCTGTTGTTTCCAATGTTCAACTCAATAATACTTGTGAGGTTTGCTAGTGACGATGGGATTAAACCCGAGAGATTGCAGTAAGGAATATAAAAACATTTCAGTGACTGAAGATTTCCAATGGACTCAGGCAATTCTCCATGAAAATTTGTTTGAGAAAGTGAAATTCTTTGCAAAGATGTGTGTTTTGGAAACTCTGGAAACTGGCCACTCAGAAAGCTATTATAGGAGATGTCAATGGTTTTCAATTTTGGAAGGAGAAAGACATTTTCTGGGAAATCAGAAGACAGATTGTTATGGCTAAGTTGCAAATAAGACAGAGATTTTAGTGTTGCAAATGAAGGGTGGATTGGACCATTGAGACCACAATCGGACAAACTTAAAACCTGAAGATGAGGCAATGCAGTAGAGGATAAGGCATGAGACCAGTTAGAGCCTTGAGCTGAGAGGTCTACACCATCAAGACACAACTCTTTTAAAGAAGTCAGATTCATAAAAAAAGATTCAAGGTTTGGTTTTCTTAACTTTACAAAAGCGAACATCCAGGAAAGATCAAGAGACACCAACCTTGTCAGCCTCGAAATCCCCACAGGAATCTGACCAGAGAAAGAGGTCTGCGAAAGGTTAAGGTGAGTCAAATTCCTGAGTTTCTCGAACCCGGACGGAAATGGAGTGGTGTTGAAATTGTTGCAAGAAAGATTGAGAGTTTGAAGATGATGAAGATTGAAAATGGGAAAAATTTCACCAGACAACATACTGAAACTGAGGTCAAGTCCGATGACATAACCGGTGGCAGGGTCACATGAAACGCCACCCCAACTACAGCAATCTTCCTCCATATTCCATTCCATCACCTTCTTTGAATGAAGGTTGAGAGCTCTCAGCTTTGACAGTGCTAACCATTGGCTGTGTACACATGCAGCAGCTGTAGTTGTAGTTGTAGTTGACAACATGAACATGGAAGAAGATGAAGATACAACAACAACCACATTACTCTGCAACACAATTAATATAAACATCAGAATTGTCTTTAAAGCAATGTAAAGTGGTCTCATTTTGTGTTTTAATTATGTTTTTGTTGACGAAAAAATGCTTATTATAAAACGGATCGGAGAATTAATAGGAGAAATGCTTATTAGGCAATAGGCACCTCAAATATCCCGCCTAAGGATGCACTTACTTCTTGGTTTTCATGGTGAAACTTCTTGAATTGCTCACTACAAACCAAATAGATGATGCCATTTGGAATATATATTAAGTGGCCTGCCAGCCGGCGGCAAGGAATTTGAGATGAAAACAATACATTTTATGGATTTTGCATTAGCTATTAGTCCCACGTACTCATCTGATCTTCGATCAAGAGAAAACTGAAAAAACCAAAAATGGGACAACTTTAATTTACAATCATTTCAAGATATACTTTTCATCTTTCTATGTATTGTATTGCACAGTAATATGGTTGTCAATTGTCATCATCAATGGCGTCAACAACTCTAAACATATGTGAACAATGTTAGATATAAATGTAGTCTAACGTTACTAAATAGAATCTACAATATAATAATCATCTTTTTCAGTGGGGGTGAATCTACAACCAATTAGCCGGCGGTATTCCTTTGGAGAACAATTCAATCCTTCCAAGAATAGTTTTTACATAGAAAATGTAAGATTGTGTGGAATCCCACTCTCAAGAAAATGCAGTGAAAATGACCCTACACCACTGTCTACTCTCCACTTTAATATCATGTAGCAATTTGACCAGATCAAGCAATTTGACCATTATATTGTGTACTATACATATAGATATATGGTCACTAATACTACATTATATTTACTTGCATTGTAATTATTTCTAATTTTCTTGTATCGGTTTTATGTCATATTCAATCATTGTTTTTATATTATAAAGTTTATATTAACAACCCTTCGATCTTCTTAGCCGATAGACTATAACTCTCGTGTTTGAATGGTTGTTAATTTGATTATTGCCAGCATCTTTAATTTTTTTATTATGGTTAATTAGCAAGTTGTTGTGTATTAGAAGTATGATTTACCAAATACACACTCTCAAATAATAATGTATGTTTTCCTCTATTATCTCAAATTTCATAAAGAAAAGTAATTTTAACTAGGATGAATGAATTTTTTATACATTTAAAGACGGGCCACTACGGAATTTTTTTTGTCATTTTCACATTTTTATACTCTTTTTTCTGGCAATTTATATCCTACACCACGGCACGCGTTGCACTGTGCGCGCCAAATGCAAAATGACGTCGTTTTAAAAAAAAAAAATTGAAATTTCCCGCCCCAGTGAATGGTAGTAATTTTTTCTTTAAAAAAACCCGTTGTTAAAAAATGTACATAATGTTATACTAGAATACACATAATTGTATACATGAATGTACATAATTATATAACAAAATATACATACTCTTTTTAAAAGATAATACACATAATCTAACATAATACATAATAAACATAAACTTTTAACATAATACACATCAACTCTTAACATAATACACACAAATTTTCTGATTCGGATGTACATAATTGTATAAAAAGAATGTACATAATTGTATAAAAAATATACATAACTGTATGAACAAATACACATAATTGTGTGAACAAGTACACATTATTGTGTGAACAAATACACATAATCACAGCAACTTCCTACCGCACCTCCCAAAACGACGTCGTTTTGGGAGGCGCGCGGCGCACAGTGCTACGCGCACCGTGGTGTAGGGTATAACGATTGCTTTTTTCTTTTCCAAATAGAAAAAAAGATAAATTTTTCAAATGGTAAAATATTCTTGTTTTGGGCTGCCCAATTTGGAAAACCCTAATCCTGCCTCTCTTAAAGATCAGATCAGTGTAGTTCTATTTATTTATTTTTTTTTTTTTTGTCACGCTTGAACAACCTCTAACTATAGGAAGCATCTAGCTTTAAGGGGTGTATTCAATCATGACTTTCATAGAGTTTTAAAGACTTTTATGAATATTAAAAGTTTGGAGGTATTCAATTCAAATTTTTAGAGAGTCTTTAAAAGTCAGGCAGTATTCAATCAAGATTTTTAAAGAGTCTTTAAAAGTCGTGTGGTATTCGATTAAGACTTTTAGAGAGTTTTTAAAAGTCATGTTGTATTCAACAAGTTATGAACTTTTGCACACTTTTTAATTTTAAGACTTTTATAGATTTTTCCTTCTCAAATATAAATAGTTGAAATCCAACCATCAACCTCAAGATTTCAAAATTTTCTTTCTAACAACTTTGAATGTTTTTTCTCTCTATTTAAACTCTATTTTTTCTCCCTCTATTGTTTCCGGTGATGGAGTTGGTGGAATTGGATCTTTCTTCTCTTGAGGAGACTTTGGAGGTACTGACAACGGTTGTACATCATCTTTTCCCTTCGTCTTATCCCGAGAGGAGCGTTTTTCTTTCTTTTGCCGTTTTGGCTTGGGTTGATCATCTTCGGATACCTTTGGTGTTCTTGACTTTCGTTTGCCCTTAACCAATTCGATGGGAATTCCCAATTCCAACCCCTTCTACTTGTCGTAACCAGATGGTTTCTGCTTCATGTGACAAGCTTTCTGTCCGGGCCGAATGCCTGGTCGCATCAAAACTCCTTTAGTGACAAGAAGATGACTTACCATAAAACCATACCCTAGTTTCTTGGCGATGTCCCCTGGACTTTTCCGGTGGTAGGTGATGGTGTGAACTAGATTATTGAAAATAATCTTCGACCAGTCAACCTTAAGTTCATTGAGAAAGGCATGCAACATCTTCAGTTTCTCCTTTGTCACATCATCAGTGCCTGAGGTCTTATGATCAACAATCTTGTTGAAAATGTCAACAGTAAACTCATAATTCAACTTAAACCACTTCTTCTTTAATGGCCAAGTGATTTCTGTCTTCAAAGGGGCTTGTTTGTTCTTGATAGAATTATAGAACTCTTCTGGATCATAGTTGATTGCTGTAATTTGGGGCAAACAAATAATACCCGGAGTATTCGGGTTGTCGAACCACAGAGAGGTGGGGTACTAATCACTAGCTACTAGGTTACTCATATGAAACTAGTCCGAACAAAACTTGAAGGTTGATTGATTGCATAAAATAACAAGCAGAATAAAATAAGTAGCAAGGTTTTGTAGACAATAGAGCAAAATAGGATTCTTGGGGTCACAATGTTTAATCACCTAGTGCCAATTAACGTTTGTAATATTTGGTTTGGAATTAAGATTTGTATGGGAATGCAAAGTGGAATCGAATTACTCCCGTAATCTCTATTCCTAGTGAATTTCCACTCCCATGGCTTAAACACCCAATAAGATCAAAGATCAGCATTCAATTATTCCTAATTACTACCATCTCCCGATGAGCAATAATCTAGAATAAACTTCCCCTAATAAGTTCCCCTTTCCCAAGGACCAACCATTAGGTGCAATCGTGTGTGCCCTAATTTATGCCCCAACTCCCATTGGTGACACAAACATGACTGTGAAGCTAGTAATTTAGGCCTTTAACTACCAACAACAACAGATTAAAACAAGATTGCAACACAAATCATAAAACCAAACATAAATATATTAAGAAATTAACGAACTAGGCACATAGGTTTATAAACAAATTCACCCAAAAATCCTTAAAGAATTTAGCCGAGCATGGCTAAATTATACATAGCAAATATGAATAAAGGATTACAAATCATCAAAAGAGTACAAGAATTAACCAAGCGATTCTCCCAAATCTCCGTGGCTTCCTCCTTGCTTCCAAAGACAACTTGAGCCTCTTGATTTCTCTCTTTCTTGTCTACAAAGAGCTCTAAAAATCTCTCGGTCTCGTATTAGGGTTGAGGAAGGGGAGATTTTATAGTGGGTACAAAGTTGAGATGAAATAGGAATCTTGTACAAAATTGGACTCAAATTATAATTCCTATATTTAAATAAAGAAATTGCCGTATTTAATTTAAAATTGAAGTTGGAATTGGAATTTGGAATTGAAGTTGAATTGGGAAACATTGCAGCCACTAATCACTTTGCATGTCGCGTCATTCTCGACGCGTCGAATTAAGGCTCGACGCGTCGAGCCTCTTTGGCTCAGTTTTGTGATGCTACTGGAAATTTTCGATGTGTCGAGTCTTCTGGGTCCCGGACTTGCCCAAAATTGCTCCATACTCATCCTTGAACTTCCCTTGCTCATAGAATTAACCTACAATGGTTCAAAAACACTAACAAACACCGTAAAACATTCAAAACAAGTGTGAACCATAATTAAATGATAATAGCAAGGAAAACATGTTTTAAATAAGCAAAATTAAAGAACTTAAATACTAAGATGATTCAAAATAACTATAAAAACAAGCAAAGATGTGATAACATCACCCCCTCACACTTAAGCTTTTGCTTGTCCTCAAGCAAAACCAAGGAATAAAATCACAAGTCAAAACATATAAATTACTCATGCTCTCTCTTGCACAACCTTTCAAACCACCAACCAACTTGCTACAAAACAACAAGCTTCAAGAATCAAATTAGTTTGGCACATAAGAGACCCATTTCCAAGCCAATAACCAAGCACCAAGAATTTAAAGTATGTGAGGATCAAGTGTGCACAAATACTCCGTTGAGATTATGCAGGACACGGTTCATGAATGAGATCCCATAGGCTTGCCTTTCATACTCCCCTAGATCAAATCTAAGAATGCATGCTAAGATCAAATAGGACTTTATTAAGCTTGTAATGTGGCTACGGGTGATAGCTAACAAAGAAGTGGTATGAAAAAAATTAATCAAAAAGAGAGAATGTCACAATTTATCTAAACTTTTCAAAATTTGGAAGAGATGAGATAATCATAATTCCAAGGAGCAAATTTCTTTTAAGAACTTAGCAACTCTTTGGTAAAGTGGGGATCCAAACTCAAAAACTTTCAATCTTTTTTTTTTCTCATTCTTTTCTTTGTCTTTGGACTTCTTTTGGATATAGCAAGATAATTTTAATCCAAACTTTCATGACTTCCACACTTGAACATTTGTAACACTAGCTGCTTTTTTTTCGTAGCACAACTCCATAAAACTCTTCTTACGGAAAAGATAAAGATAAAAGTTTCCTTCTCTCAAGGGTGGAAGGGAAATATTTGGCCACGGGCTAAGGGTTATAATAATGGGGTAAATCAAAGAAAAACAATCACAAAGAGGGGATAAGTGCTTAGCACTTATTTGAACAAACAAAAGGCACAATGGGGACACGAAGGATAAAAATATATATAGGGACAGGTTTAAAGGCTATGGCTAAACAAAAATGGCCTAAATCACTTCAAAACATGCAAAACTTAGACATCACTTAGGGAGTAATGAGGCAAGTTCTAGCAAAACACCCATGACCGGAATCTCACATAAGCCTTCACTAGCAATGCATAACACAAGATCAAGAATTAATCCAATTATTAAGTGGTTAACAAAGCTATTGGCAAGGGAATAGATCAAATATGTGTTACACCTCAAATCATCCATCACAAATTGAGATGCAGCAAGCACCACTAAAACAAACCACAAACCAACAAGAGAGAGTAATTGTAACTGCATGCTAAGACAAGTAACTTATTCACCAAAAATAGCATATGAGTCATCCAAGCAAAACCAAAAATTTTAAAAATTTAGAAATATCCCCAAATTAATGATTCCTCCCCCTCACACTTAAAACTTTGCATCATCCCTGATGCAAAATAAAAGAAAAGTAAAACAAGAGAAAAGAGAAAACTAAAAAGCAATAAAATAATCACGAACTAGAAAGCAAAAAACGAATCTAGAAAACAATAAAATTAAACTAGAAAGCAATAAATATGAAAGAAATAAAAGATAACATGGGGTGCCTCCCATGAAGCGCTAAGTTTAACGTCGCTAGCTCGACCTAACCTGGTTATGGAGTGCTCATCCTGGTTGATCCGCGAGTTTGATCTCATCACCCCATAGACTCTTCAAATGCAAATACTCATCATGTGTCACCTTGAGAGTAGGGTCGATGTGCAAAATTGACTTGCATTCAATGATTTTTGGCTCATCAAGAACATTAAATTCCACATTTTCCTCCCCAAAGTAAAAAATCATGGACCCTTTCCTTGCATCAATCATTGCTCCAATAGTGGCTAGGAAGGGTCTCCCCAAAATGAGTGGAACGTCTAGGTTCCTTCGGACATCTATTACAATAAAATCACAAGGCACAAAATACTTGTCCACACGAACTGGGACATCTTCAAGAATTCCAATAGGCTTTACGATGGATCTATCCGCCATTTCTAAGGTGAATTGGATTGGTTTTGGTTCTCCTAACCCTAACTCTTGACAAAGAGTAAGAGGCATAACACTCACACTGGCTCCTAAATCACAAAGGGATCCCTTTAAAGGTCGGCCTCCAATCACACAAGGAATTGTGAACTTCCCCGGATCTCTATGCTTAGGTATATTCCTCCCAATTCCCGGGGTCAACGCCTGATACTCTTGTGCCACAGCTACCATCTCTCGTTCCCCATATTTCTTTTTCTTAGCTAGAATCTCTTTCAAAAATTTTCCATAAGAGGGAACTTGTGAAAGCAAATCAAGTAAGGGAACTGAAACTTTCAAACTCTCAACAATCTCCAAAAACTTTTTCCACATACTTTCTTTTGTTGTTTCGAGATTCATCACAAAATCAAAACTTGTGTTCCAATTGGAAAATTTCCATAATCATATATACAATGGTTTCCAAATTATTTTAGACTCCTCCAAAGGGGATTAAGCACTTGCTCCAGAGGGTATTTGTCCCAAAATAATTTAACTTTCTTTGTCTTTTCTTCTTCTCTTGTATTGAAAAATTCAATGTAATAACACAATAAATGATAACAAAAAAAGTGTCAAGTCGCAACATCTGATAAGAATTAGGATATTGTTTCTTTTTTTTTTTTTTTTTTTTTTTGTTTTGAATACACTATAATCTGTTTATAGTATTAAGTATTTGTTCAAATATTGATGATTCATAAAATTTGAGTATTAAAATACTCAAAATTTGATGCAAGTACCAAATAAATGGTAATTAAAACTACTTTTTAAAAAAGGTGCTTGAGAAATTGCGTACAACATAATTTAGGCACTATTTAGCTTAACGAAGACATTAAGTATGTAAATATAAATACAAATACTTTAAAACAGAAGAAGATGTACTATTTAACTTAACAAGCTAAGGCATTAAACATATATATTAAGCTTAGGGAATTTAAACACAAAACAAAAGCTATCTTCTCACTTTTAGGACTGTTAATTGCATTTTCTTCTTCTTCCTTCTTGCTTGCTTCTTCTTCTGCTGCTGCTTTACGACCCATTTAATAATCCAATCAGCCAAGAATGTAAACCCGATTGTTAACCCAACAACTAACCCAAACCCACATCCAGCAACTGCAAACTTCCAATCAAATATGGCTTCTTCACCTTCCAAGCTCTCATCTTGTGCTACTGGTACATCATCATCTTCACTGCATTTTCTTGAGAGTGGGGTTCCACACAGTCTTGCATTTCCTATGTAGGAACTATTCGTGAAAGTATTGAATTGGTTACCCAAAGGAATGCGACCGGCTAGTTGGTTGTAAGACATGTTCAATACTTCTAGGAAAGTTAGACTGGTGAGTTGTGGAGGAATCATTCCTGAGAATTTATTGTGTGAGAAATCTAAAGACTCTAGTTGTGATAATTCTCCCAATGATGTTGGAATTTGCCCATCAAAGGCATTTCGTGACAGATTGAGCACAACCAGTGATTTTAGTTCACCAATCTCTTCTGGAACATTGCCATGGAAGTTGTTGTTTGACAGATCCAAAGACACAAATATTGTCAAAATCTTAACTAACACCATCTCATTTCCTTTGTTCATGATAGTCACTGAATCATGGTAGTAGCCATCATGGTTTCCAATGAGGCTGGACAGTGATTTGTTTTCCCCACCCACAGCCATTGCACTCAAACTCTGCAGGAAATATGTGGACAACTTCCCGCTGAAATTATTGGAGGACAAATCAATTATGCTTAAGTTTGACAACACAAACTTTGTCCTAGGAATCTCCACCTCACCATAAAACATGTTGTTTCGCAAGACAAGAACTTTGAGTGAAGGGAGTTTTTCCAACCAAAATGGGAAAGTATCAAACATCATGTTGTTTCCTAAATCAAGAATCTCCAGCATTTTGCAATTGGCCAGTGATCTTGGCAGCTTCCCTTTCAATCGATTGCCATTGATATTAAGAGTAACAAGATTTCCTGCTAATGTAAAATTAGAAGGCATTTGATGATATCTGTTTCCTTTCAAGTTCAAAACAGACAGAGTTTCAAGCTTGACCAAGCACTCTGGAATCAAACCACTCAAATTATTATCTGATGCATCAAGATACTTCAAGTTGCTCATATTGCATATTCCAGATGGAAGAGATCCTTTGATACGATTTCCATGAAGATAAAGAGCAAACACATTTAAAGAAATATTTGAGGGAAATTCATTAAGGACAGATAAAAGATTGTGAGAAATATTCACAAGCTCAAGCGACTCAATCCATATCCAGCTTGGTATTTCACCTTCTATCTTGTTATCAGAAAGGTCAAGATCCTTTAAAGCACAAAGGCCTTTCAAGATATCAGGGAACTTAGAAATGTTGCAAGAATGCATCCATAGAGAGTATAGTACCTTGAATGAACTATTTCCCACAACGGATGATGGTTCAAGAAAATCTATTGGATTTCCAGAAAGGTCCAAGTTCTCGAGTAAGATGTTGTTCCCCAGCCAACTAGGAACATAACCCCGGATGTGATTATCTGCAAGACTCAGATCTCTAAGCTCTACTTGAGTCTTCAGGAAAATGGGAAAATCAGATAAATTGCACTTTTGTAGATACAAAGACACCAATTGAGGCCAGTCAAAGCTTCTATCATCATCACCATCATTAATATCTTCAACCGTCAAGCTATTGCTAGAGAGATCTAAAAATGTCAAGTTCTTGAGATTCTGCAACATTTCAATTTTCACACTACCATTAAAGTTGTTAGATGCGAGTGATAGAGAAATGAGGTTAGGAAGTTGAAAGATTGATTTAGGTACCACCCCACACAATTGATTGTCATTCAAATGCACTTCCTTTAAAACAGAGGAAGATGTATTAGAGAAGTCGTCAAGTTCACCACTGAATTTGTTAGCATTGAGGTGCAAAATTGCTAGAGATGGTAGTGTGAAAATAGACGAGTGAATTCCACCAGTGAGAAGATTGGATGACATGTCAAGGTACGAGAGATTTGGCACACTTGTACTATGAAATGGGGGTAAAGAACCAGTGAATCTGTTTTCTTCAATGTCCAACTCAATAATACTTTGTGAGGTTTGCTAGTGATGATGGGATTAACCCCGAGAAATTGCATCTATAAATATCTAAAATTTTCAGTGACTGAAGATTTCCAATGGACTGAGGCAATTCTCCATGAAATTTTGTATTGTAAAGTGAAATGGTTTGCAAAGGGGTGTGTTTTGGAAACTCTGGAAACTGGCCACTCAGAAGGTAATTATTGGAGATGTCAATTGTTTTCAATTTTGGAAGGAGAAAAACATTTTGTGGAAATTCATCAGAAAGAATGTTAGTGCTAAGCTGCAAATAAGATAGAGATTTTAGTGTTGCAAATGAATTGTGGATTGGACCGTTCAGCTGACAATATGACAAACTTAAAACCTGAAGATGAGGAAGTGCAGAGGATAAGACTTGAGACCAGTTAGAGCCTTGAGCAGAAAGGTCTACACCATCAAGATACACCTCTTTTAAACAAGTCAGATTCATAAAAAAAGATTCAAGGTTTGGTTTTCTTAACTCTAATGAAGACATCGAGGTAAGATCAAGAGACACCAACCTCGTCAGCATCGAAATCCCCGCAGGAATTTGACCAGAAAAAATGGTATACGAAAGGTTAAGGTGAATCAAATTCCTCAAATTTTCAAACCCGGACGGGAATGGAGCAGAGTTGAAATCGTTGCAAGCAAGATTGAGAGTTTGAAGATGGTGAAGATTGAAAATGGGAAAAATTTGAGCCGAGAGCATACTGAAACTGAGGTTGAGTCCAGTGACATAACCAGTGGCAGGGTCACATGAAACGCCATCCCAACTACAACAATCCTCCTTTATATTCCATTCAATCACCTTCTTTGAAAAGTTGTCGCCGCACCACGGCAACCACGGCAGTGGTGAATGAAGGTTGAGAGCTCTCAGCTGTGACAGTGATACACATGAAGAGGAGGAAGATACAACAACAACCACATTACTCTGCAACACAATAAAAACAAATATGAGAAATGTCTTTAAAGCCATGTAAAGTGGTCTCATTTTGTGTTTTTGTTGACGAAATGCTTATTATACAACGGATCGGAGCTAATATATATATATGGCATAAATGGGCGGTAATCAACCGCCATTGTACTTTGAAATCTTCAAACAACCATACGGAATTTATTTTATACTCCGTATCTTTTAAAACCATTTTTTAGTAATATATATTTGTTTGATTAAGTCTTTCAAATAGATACTGTTGACTTGCTTTTTAAGTCTTCTTTCATTCCCCTATTTTCCAACTCTTTCTTTTACCTCAAATTCTAAACCCTATTTTAAAAATGTTAATTTAGGGTCATTATATTATACGTAATTATAAGGGTGAACTATAATTTTTATTTATTTAGTCCTCAAAGTTAGAATTTATTAAATAATAATTGAGTTATAAAGGTGTAAATGTAATTATGTGTAATATAAATTATAATACAAATGTAGTACACTAGGGCGATTGGTTCAGGTTATATAACATAACCAAGGTAATGTGACATTCCAAATCTCACATTCCTATGTTTGGTTCATATTATCTTAGGGAATGTCACATTCTCATGGAATATTATATTCCCTCCACATAGGATTTTGAAGGGAATATGATTCCCTTCAATTTCTTAGGTTATGTTAGTTTAATATATATATATATATATATATATATATATATATTTGTAATTATATATATTTTATGTTTATTATGTTATGTTAGCATATAAAATAATTTTGTTTCTCACGTTCAAAATTTTAGTTAATATTTTAAAAATCATGTAATTATATATGATAGCGTTATCTTATTTATTTATTTTAATTTTTAAATTTATTAAAATATATGAAAATATGTTAAGGATATTATAGTGTGTGTATAAAAGATAACCCTAAACCAAACATGATTATATCACATACCCTAATTTTAGCCAAACACAGGAATCTAACATTCCCAGTAGTCTAACATTCCCAGCAATCTAACATTACCTAAGGTAATCTGACATTCCGTGAACCAAACGACCCCAAAGGTAATTTTATTCAATATAACATGGAATGACATACATGCAATGGGTGAGATCTTATTTTTTATTTTTTAAATTCGGGAGCAATTTTTAATTATTTTTTTGCTCCTGATAAACCTGGAATTTAAAAGATATACTCCATATTAGAAACTAGTATAAAATATACACATCATACAACAACAACAACAACAATAATAAAATAAATCAGAGACTATATTCTTACCTTCTAATTTGTTAACGTGGTTAAATCTATAATTACGTGTACATTGTTTAGGTTCTTGTAGGTACACTAAAAATTTATTTTCAACTTTATATTTTTTTTAATTTATAGATAATATATTAATTATTCTAATTTATATTATCTTTTGTAAACATTTCCTCATAATATTATAAGATAATAATGTAATTTTTATGGAAATAAAGAAGGGTTGTTAAATGTCTTGGTCGTGAGTCTTTCAAACATTTAGTAGACAGTAGACTTGCTTTTTAAGTCTTCTTTCATGCACACTTTTCCTAGTCTTTATTCATTTCACAACCGCGTACAATTTTAGTCTTCTTTCATGCACACTTTTCCTAGTCATTATTCATTTCACAACCGCGTACAATTATTTCTAAAATTGAAATGTTTCTCAAGTGGAATTTAATTTGGTTCACAAAAAATTAATAATAGAATATATATTCTTTTAACTTATAATAATAATAATAATAATAATAATAATAATAATAATAATTATTATTATTATTATTATTATTGTTGTTGTTGTTATTTTCAAATTAATTTAGGGCTTTTGATTATATATATATATATATATATATATATATATATATATATATATATATATATATATATATATATATATTTTTGTTAGGAACATTGTATTAGGATTTTGATGATACCAATGTAATGAAGGAAAGTAGACCCCTAACCATCAGCTTTTTCAATCGCTGCTTTCGTCCTAGACGAGAGTTGCCATAACTCCTCTGTAATTCGTGTTAAGTTAGACAAACACACGAAAATGAGTTATGACTAGATGCTAGGGTCTCCAAGGCGAAAGAAGACACGAGACATGAAAAACAACAACGAGAGTCAAGCAGGAGTTGTCAACAAGCACGAAAGGACAGTTTTGTTAAAAGACGATCTTTATCAAGCATTACTTCTCTTCGACAACGAGAAGAATGTTCTATCTGTCTGATTTGACAACATCCTAGGACAATAAGGACTTCATCTTATGGGACACACTTTTCAAGAAGCATTAAATGAAGATGTACCATCTCCTGAAGCTAAAGGACAAAACCTAATGCTTTACATACCTTCAACGGCTACATGGTGCAACCTCATTAATGGAGCATTTAATGCATGAAGCTCCCCGGTCCTTGTCCAATGGTTAAAAGGTTCGAAAATTTCATCTCCCTCCAACGGATGAATTTTCATCACCTATATAAACCCACCTTCATTAACTAAGAAGGTGCTGGTTCATTCTCACTCGACTTATTTACTTGCAAAAGCTCTTGAACGCTCTCATTTTCCAAAAAGCTTTTGTGAACCAGTATTGAGGTGCTAAGTTACTTGAAGAAGGTTATTGATCATATTCTTACATCTCAAAAGAAGTCTTGCCATTTGTTTGAAGCAATCATATCTCACAGTCAAGACTTCATCGTTGGAGAAATCAAGAAATCATTTTCTACCAACCTCAATTCAGGAGAAGAAGTTGATAGAGGCGGAGTAAACTCGAGGAGTTGAAAAACCTACGAAGGCTGTCCGGCTTAGTGATCAAGGAAGTCTTTGTGTAATTGTACTAAAGAGTGATAGTGCAATCCTTCCATCAGTTATGGAAGAAGAGTGGAGTAGGCAACGTTAGCCGAACCACTATAAAATCTCTTGTCCCTTCTATCTCTTTACTTACGCTTTTCTTTTCTGCATTCGTATCATCCCATTTATCACCGTTACCGAAAGTTTTCCTAATTACGCAAACTCGTGCAAAGCATTTAAAACGAATCTATCTTATCCGCTGCGCCTAAACACCGAAAGGTGACGATTAGGGCTTTTCACGAAAAGAGTCTATTCACCCCCCCCTCTAGACTCTCATTACATTCTATCGGGACCAACAAGTGGTATCAGAGCCAATACCTTGATCGGTAAAGGCTTTGCATTTACTGCCTGGTAGATCCCTTTTCAAAAATCTCTTGAAAATCTTGCATATTTTCTTTGCACACTTTTTATCCAAAAAATGGAAAAGGAACATGCACATCGCTCTAGACAACTTGCATTTAGTCTTGCTAAATTTGATGACTGGAAGTTAAGGATGCAGGCTCTTCTATGCTCTATTCATGATGAAATGTGGGACGTCATAACAACTGGACCAATCATGGTCATGATGGCGAATGCACAAGCAGCAGCACAAGGAGCAGGAGCTACACAGATGATACCAAAGCCGAAAGACCAGTATTCCACGGACGAAAGAACAAGAGCAAATCTGGACAATATAGCAAGAAATATTCTCTACAACTCTCTGGATGATTCTTTGTTTCCAAGAGTCCGAAAGTGTCAAAATGCCATGGAAGTATGGAATGTCCTAATGAGTTTGGGAGAAGGAGACGAGCAAGAAAAGGACAACAAACTGACAATGGCCATGAAAAAATTTGAAGATTTCAAAATGCTGCCAAATGAATCAATCATGGATATGGAACTCAGATTCACCAGGCTGATGGGCGATTTGTCAGACCTCGGAAAAGAGCTAACTGAGAAGGAGATGAATCTGAAGATCCTTCGTGGACTACCAAAATCATGGGAAATGAAGGTTATAGCAATGAGGGATAGTCGAGATATGAAAACAACAAGCACGGCCAAAATTTTCAGTGATCTCAAAGCCTATGAGTTTGAACATGAACCGAAAGATGCCGAAGAATCAGAAACAAGAAACATTGCTCTCGTGGCAAATCAATCAGCATCAACCTCCAACAGGTCGAAATCTAACTCTTGTGATTTTTTATCTGATGAATAATATGCACTATTTGTCAGGAAGATGAAAAGGTTCATGAGAAAGAACAACTTTCAAGAGCCACAACGATCGGGCCACCGAAAGAAGCATGAAAGCTTCCCTCAAACCTCAAAAACCGAAACCATGGACTCGCAACTACTGTGCTATAATTGTCGAAAGCCAGGACACTTCAAGGCGAACAGTCCTCAGCATATAGTGAGCAAGCATCAAGATAAAAAAACTACCACAAGTCCCTCAAAAGAGACTGGAGAAAGATATAAAAGGAGCGACAAGCCTGAATCATCAAACTCCAGAAATGAAGGAAGAAGGAAAGCAATGGTAGTAACCGAAACTTCTGACACAGTTGCAACCGAAAGTAGCTCCTCAAGCTCGAGCTTAGAAGACGAAAACACTGATGAGGAGAAAGGACTGCTGTGCCTGTTTAGTCAAGAGTCAGATGAACTGTGCCTCATGGCAGATGAAGATGAGGTAAACTCTCATTCATCTTCTTGTTACTCAGCTGAGTCAAGTTCTGTGGGAAGTCATACCTCCAATGAATCTGTCACCGAAATGATGAGGAGCTTCAAGGTGATAAATAGCACTTACTCCAAACTTAAAGAGGAGAACTCTCAGCTCATGACTAGCTATAATGAACTAAAGCAAGTTCGTATTGAGAACAATATGCTAGTCATTGCTAAGGAGCAGCTTGAGAAAGATGTTCTCGCTCTAAAGGAGCAATGCACAGCAAAAGAAAAGAGAGAGCAAGAACTGCTTGAAGTCTTGGATAAATTCAATAATTCATCCAATCTAATGGATAGAATAATGAATGAATCCAGACTGCCCGGGGAAAGAACTGGAATTGGTTTTAACCCCAGCTCCTCTTCACAAGTCGAATTGAACAAATCCACGAATGCATATTCACACGAAAGCTTCGAGGCCGCATTTGTTCAAGGACCCACCCAGCTGTCTGAGCTTATGATGGCAGTTAACAATGTCGAAACACCACAAACAACAAGCCAACCGAAAGGAACGGCTGTACAACGTGTTGTGAAATCTGGAAAAGAGAAACCCGTTAAAGGCAATCCTAGACAAATTTATGTCAGAAGGAATGGA